GGGGAGGTGGAGGGGGAACAGGGGAGGTGGAGGGGGAAGGGACGTGGAGGGGGAGAGGAGGGAGCAGGAGGTAGGTGCTTTTATTTTAGCCAATTTTGAAGTTAAGAAAAAGATGTAGAGTGTGTGTATTAAATGTGGACATAAAGATGCAGGGAGAGTGTATTTTAGGGGTTGGGTAGGTTTGCGTGAATATAAGATGGATATGCTGGAGGAGAGAGTGGAGTACAGCAATGCAAATTGGATATTTCGAGGGGGCCAAAACTGAACGGATGTGGGGCACCGCTTGTAAGGATGCAAGGTGGTGTATTGGCAGGGAAAGGGGGTAAGAGGGTGGATGTGAGTTTGGTGTTTCGAAGACGGGTAGGGCGGGGGGGGAGGGTGGTTGACAGTAAAAGGGGTATACAAGTGTACAATGATTGCTATTGTGGCGTGAGGGGGGCGCACAGTAGTGTAATGTCGGCGTATTTGCGTGGTCCTATTATGTAAAAAGAATCCAAAGGGCGTAAGAACATTCACCAAATTTTAATATTGTGATGGTTGCTTCAAATGAGGTAGTGCTTGAAGAAGCAATGTTAAAAACAATCAGGAAACGACAAATGCAGTTTTTGGGACACCTGAATAGACATAAGGGTTTGAACATCTAGCTCTCACTGGCAAAATGGAGAGCTAGCGAGGCAGGGGTAGGCCCAGGACAACATACTTAGGGAACCTAAACATGGGTAACAGGGAAAGATCAGGGAAACGTAGCTTTTTTTAGAGCATCCGAGCAAAGGAATGAAAGGAAAACAATGATCGCCGATGTCTGTCACAGATCTGACACTGGATGATGATGATGATGGTTGCTTCAAAGCACTGTGGTGTATTGACGAAGGTGGGGGAGGGTGTTGTACACAAGGTGGGTGTGTATACGTGATGGGGCTATGGAAGCAGGGGTGCACCCTTACAAAGTGCGTGCTTGTGCGAGAATGGGGTACACTAGGTGGAGAGGCGGTGAAGAGTGAGGGAAAGGGATAATAGAGAGACAGAGAAAGAATGAGATAGTGAGAGAGAGAGAGAGAGATAGTGAGAGAGAGAGATAGTGAGAGAGAGAGATAGTGAGAGAGAGAGATAGTGAGAGAGAGAGAGAGAGAGAGAGAGAGAGAGAGAGAGACGGGCAGAAATAGGTGAAACAGGGAATTTGGAGGAATAGGATGAAAAGGAGAGAAAAAGAAAGACAGCGCTTTTATTGATTTCCGTAAGTCTTACAATCTGCATAGTCAATAGATAGCACCATAAACTCAGACGTTAGCGCCACTTTTAATTTTTACCAGCATCCCCTCCCCTACCATTTTAAAGTATGACTATGAGTTTGCTGTGTTAAATGGTATGATGTTTCCTCTTTAGCCAGTGTTTTTGATTTACCTAATCTGTTCGAGGTGAAATCTAACCACTATCAAGCTATTCGTTAACGGACGTCAGTGCTGATTGAGCTATTCATGTCGGTTTTAGGACAAGAGCCTATCCACGTACTACAATCCAGTGAGAAGCGTCCGCTCGATGCCCACAATGCAGCTGAGCGTCCCTGACAACGGACTGGTTGCCATCCCCGTAGATATCCCCAGTGACGCCGACGAAGTGACCGTGACAGTAAGTAGGAACTAACTACTTTTTATGATTTTTTGATTTTTTACATACTGCTATTGTTATCGTGTGGATTTAACGAAAAATTCAATAGGTCTCCCCCTCTACCATCATAACCCCACCTCCCCCCCCCCCAATTTTTTTTTTTTAAATCACAAACGCACACACGCACGCATACGCACGGGGATCAAGGACTGGTGATGGGTCTCATTTAAATATGGAGAAATGCCTAAGCGTCTCAAACAGCTTCTCCCAATCCAGCCAACCGTACCTGCCCGTGGTGGTCCCTGT